TACAATTATATATATATATATATATATATATATATGTATATACACACACACACACACACACACGCACACACACACACACATATAAACAGTATTTTTTAAATATCTAACCATATTTAAGGGGGTGATTTTGTGGTTTAACTCAAATAAAATGTTCATATAAATATATGTTTTAAACGTTTTAAATTTAAATATATGTTTTAAAAAAGTTTAGTTTTCGAAATATAAGAAGTTTTAAAAGAAAATTTAAACGTGTGGTAATAATCCATCTGAAGTGCCAGTCACAAAGACACAAATAGCAGAAAGAAAATATAAAAATCGGCTTCGATTCTTTAACACGTTGACTGCCACAGAACTTTTCACGATTCTGGTCTAAGAAGCCAATTTGATTTAATCAAGTAATGAAGCGACGAGATAACTCGTAGTTGGCGTCCTGGGCAAGTAAACAACCTACGAAATATCTCGTAGTTGGCAGTCAACGTGTTAACACACTTGGTATTGGTTTGTTACGAAAATAATGTCGTATTTTTCTAACAAATTTAATATATTTTACTGAAAAGAAATTTCAATCTGGATGGCATAGCGCAAACTATTCCGATAGCTGATACCTCTAAACGACCTTTCGTGTATAGATAATATATATAGAAGAGTTTGTATTCACTTAAGATCAAGAGAAAAATGCAGCAAAACAAGCTATATTTTCATTGTTTGATGCTGTTTTACTTCCGGGGAAAACGTGACGCGAACAAAAAAGGAAAATATGTGCTATGTATGGAGAAGATGCCGTAATAGAACGTATGTACCAGAGATGGTTTACGAAGTTTCGTGCTGGTGATATGATATTCGAAGATGAAGAGCGCTTTAGTCGACTGGCTATTGTTAATGACGACCAAATTAAGATTTTAATCGGAAATAATCAACGATATACGACATGGAAGATTGCAGAAATACTTCATTTATCACATACAACCGTTATCGAACATGTGCATAAGTTGGGATACATGAATCATTTTGATGTTTGGGTGTCGCATAAATTTGGGAAACATTTAATCGATCGCATTTCTGTCTGTGATTTATTACTTAAATGCAATGAAAACGATCCATTTTTAAAACGAATCGTGATAAGCAATGAAAAATGGGTTATCTACGACAACGCAGTGCACAAACGGTCCTAGGAAGAATGTTTAGAAAAGCCGTTGACCATCCCAAAAACAGGACTTTATTCGGAGAAGGTCATATTGTATATTTGATAGGACTGGAAGAGTGTGGTATATTATGAGTTCCTTCCAAAAAACGTACGGCTTAATTCGGATAAGTACTATGTCCACTTGGACAAACTGAAGGAAGCCATGTGGGAAAACTCAGAACATTCAGAACTGATTAATAAAAAGACGTTTTATTCCATCAGGATAACACCAGGCCTCATGCTTTTTTAATTTTTAATCACTTGAGAAAAAATATTGCAAATCGACTGGAATGTTTTATTGCACCCAACATATTCACCAGACATTGCTCTTTCGGATTACTTGTTCCGATCCTTGCAAAACTTCTTTAATAGTAAAACGTTCACTTCTTTGGAGGACTTTCACTTCTTTGCCAAAAGCACTTTTAGCAGTTCTTCGCTGATAAAATGCTCGAATTCTACACGCGAGGAACTGCGTAGCTGCTCTAAAGATGGCAAAATATTATAGAAAACAACGGTCGTCACATTATTAATAAAAGTGGTTTTTTAATATAAATAAACTTCCTCCAATTTTGAGCTATAAACCTTATTTTTCTTCCAATTCAATATCTATACGATTTTTGAAAAGGAGGACTGAAGAATATATCATGGTGGAAAATGGTCATTTTCAATTCATTTAATTGTTCCATTTCTAATTTTTTATTCTTTTGGCTATTGTATTTTTGAAATATTGTGATGTGTTATAAGTTTACAATAAGTTTCAATAAAATATCCTAAATCCTATGTGACATTTATATTTTCCTGGAAAGTTCAACATCCTGTGTT